ACAACTAGACACAAGAACAGTTTTTTTCCCCGAATGCCATCACTCTGCTAAACAAATAATTCCCTCAACACTGTCAAACTATTTACTAAGACTGTATTACTATTCTTCTTCTCATTCTATCTATCACCTCCCACTTATGACTATAACCTTGTTGCTTCTATCTCTACGATTTATATTATTTTATTTGTTTCCTAGTATGATTTGACTGCTTGTTTAGTAACCTATGACTATCACTAAGTGTTGTATCTTATGATTCTTGGTGAATGTATTTTTTTTTCTTTTATGTACACTGAGAGTATATGCACCAAAGACAAATTCCTTGTGTGTCCAATCACACTTGGCCAATAAAGAATTCTATAAAGCAACATATAGTTTATTCTATAAGTAGCGATTAAGCAAACCACAGATTAGAGATGTCTATGGAGAGTCTTGGTCATCCAGATCATGGTTGTCCCAAAGGTGATTTTTTTTTTCAAGAGGCAACTGGACTTTCTGGTTTTTCTTTGAAGACATTTCGCTTCTCATCCAAGAAGTTCAACCTTTGGGACATAAATTAGAGAGCAGTCTTTCCCAATCTGGACCACTTTGAGACGTGTGGACTTGAACTCCTAGAATCTCCCAATTAGTCTGACCATTGCTGAGAATTCTGGGAATTGAAGTCAACACATCTTAAAGTTGCAGACTGAAAAACACTGAGTTTGAATGATGTGTGAATAACACCAATTACGTGAATATGAAATAACATTCCCTGGATATCTAAGTGATCATGGTGGTGATGATAGTGATTTGGTGGAAAAAAACTAAACTACTAAATGGATCTCTTTGTGCTCAGTATCCCACATGTATATTGAGAAATGTTTTTTAATGGATTGATATCAGCTGGGCTGGGAGTTCCACTTGGCAGTGGCAGCTTTGGCCCATTGTGCCCCAAGGACTGATGTAACATACTGTACTTGCTGTGGCAACAAGTGAGTTGCAGACTCATTTGATGAGGCAGCACTGACATAAAGGGGGAACTAAAATATAAATTAAACAGTACAAAATAAGCAGATAATGAAAAGCATTTGGAAATTGTGAACTCTTTCCTGAGAATTGACCTGTTCATTTTAGTTAGTTAGGTTTATATCCTGTCTTTGCTCCCTCTCCCATTTTCCCCAACAGCAACCTAATGAGGTAGGTTGGTTTTGAGAATTATGGAATAGGCATAATAGTAAATCTTGTGCCGACTCCCAAAACTGAAGTCTAATTTAATGAGTGTCTTGGCCTGCTTCTGCCTTCTTCTTTCTTAGTGTTAATAGTTTTGAGTACAGGAAGTCCTTGACATACAACCATAATTGAGTAAACAGCAAATTTCTGTTGCTAAGCAAGCAGTGGTGGGTTGCCTGCGGTGAACCGGTGGTAAAGATAAGTAGAACCAACCCCTGTAAGCAAGGTAGTTGTTCAGTGAGTTTTGCCCCGTTATACCTTTTTTGCCTTGGTTGTTAAGTGAATCACTGCATTTGTTAAGTGAAGGATGTGTGTTTTTGGTTTATTTTTATAGCTTTCTTATGTATGATGTACACTGAAGATGGCATTTAATTTCATTGGACGAGGTGCAATGACAATAAAATAAAATAAAATAAAGTGAAGAAAACGGGGTTGCTAAGTAAATCTTGCTTCCCCTATTGACTTTGACAAAAGCCGGACAGGAAGTTTTGCAAGTGGTGATCACATGACTCTGAGACAATGCAATGGTCATAAATACATAGCAGTTGCCAAGCACCTGAATTTTGATCATGTGATCATGGGACGCTGCAACGGTCGTAAATATGAAAACGTATTGTAACTTTGAATAATCACTAAATGAATGGTTGTAAGTTAAGGACTATCTGTATGTTTACAACAGTGGTGAAATGCTACCAGTTTGCAATGGTTCAGGTGAACTGGTAGTGATAAAAACTGAACCTGTTCTACTTACTTTCCCAAGCATCCTTTTGGTGCGTATTGTGCATGCGTGCACAGCGCACATTTGGTGCGCATGCATGTGCACACAGCATGTGTTTGGCATGCAGTGCGCATGCGCATGTACGCAGCACATGCTTGGTGCGCAGCCACATATGCGGTCAGCGAACCATGGCAAACCAATTTAGATTTCACCACTGGTTTACACGATATATAAATAAATATTCTGCATATCTCAGGAAACTGAAACAATATCTGCTGGGCTAAAGAGATCACTTGTGTTTCTCTCAGCCAGTGTTTCACCATCTTTGCTGTTTCTGCTACTAGCTTCTGCCTCAATTTTCCTCTTTTCTCCCCTTCATTTTCCTCTCCCTGTGGATGCAAATAATTTCAACTGAAGGATGCAAATAATTTCAGCTTGCTAAATGTCTTTGTGCCTGTGTTATTTGCAATAGCCTGAAAAGCAAAATGCTGTAGGTTAGCAGCTTGGTGGCCTGGCTTGAGGTGGTGGGGGGGGGGGGGGGGGGATGGAGGGAGGACCTGGGCTGTGCAGATGGTAGGCCGGTACACATGCAGCCCTTGTGCAGTTGGTGGGCCGACACGCACATGTGCAGCTTAACTTGCATGAGCGGTAAGTTGGAGCGCATGCACGCAAGTGCCCGCTAGCCCACTGCTCGTGCAAGTTGAGCTGCACGTACATGCGTGTGCTCTGGCCAGCCATGCATGCGGCCCAATTCTGAATAGGCCACGGCCCATAGTGGCTACAGCCTGGGCATTGGGGACTCCTGCTGTATCAACAGACAAGCTGTGCCCTTTCAATGATCTGTGTGCTATGGATGGATTGGCCTTCAATGTGCTATGAACAATTTGTGAATGTTGCTGTTAGAAGGTGTAGGAGCTGCACGAACAGTTTTTTCTTATCATTTTTTAAAAAGCACCTCTATATATCAATATAATCTCCTGTGCCTAACTTCATGATCCCATGAAAAAAAACTTATTTTAATTATGACTCAGTTGTTTGGTTTAAAAAAAAAATAGAAAACATGTTTAGTGCCAATTACAGGGCAAAAATATAAATGTGGTGAGATACCACACATACTGCTACTTTTTTGTTAACTTCTTTTTCACAGTTTTGTATGATTGAAAATACTTTTTTTGGGTCCATTCATGGAGACTGCCTGGACAAACCCCTGCAGTTTTCTTGGCAAAGTTTTTCAGAAGTGGTTTGCCATTGCCTCCTTCCTAGGGCTGAGAGAAACTGACTGGCCCAAATCACCCAGCTGGCTTTGAGTCAAAGGGAGAACTGGATCTCCTGGTGCCCCACTTTCTAGCTTGGTGCACCAAACCAGCTCTCATTTTAAATTAAATATGTATGTGGCTTTTAATTCTGTATCAAATCAAGGGTAGGCAATGCCAATTTTCCTGGTGTATCAAAAAACAGGCTACAATAGCTGAATTCCTTAAAAACTCTTAAATTTCTTTTTCTGCCCAGTGTTATCGTTGATTGTTACATGCTAATAAACAGCCTGTGCTAAACAGTTTGTCCACAAATCATGACCACAATTGAGCTCAAAATTTATGTTGCTAAGTGAGACATTTGTTTAAATGAGTTTTGTCCCATTTTACGATCTTGGAAAAGAAACTAGTGCGCAAAACCTGAGTGAATATTGTAACTATTGACCCTGGAAACAGGCTAGTGGGGAGCTCTGTTCTTTCCAACCTGTTGCTGAATTCAAGGAATATTTTCAGCTCTTTGTTCCATCTCTCCATCTTCTTGGGAATCTCTTTTAAAAAGCCCCAGAAACTAATGAGAGGATTTTCTAGTGTTTAACTAAAGTGGGAAGTGGACAAGCTTTGCTCTCTTGCTGAGAGAACTGGAAAAAAGCATGACAAATAGTTCATTGTCAGCTTCTTGTGAATTTCTGATAAATTTATTTAAGCTCATGCTCAAAAAAATTGGATGTGCCCCTTTCCTCTCCCCCACACCCTCCTTCCCTTGGGTATTTTGTGACTGTTTGTTTCCTGAAATAAAATGCCTGGCACTTTAAAACCAGCTGAAAATTTTGGGGCTTTGCTCTCTTCCTCATTTGCTACCTTTAAAAATACTTCCATCGAAGTAATTGAGATACTTCAATTGGGATGTCCTCAACGTACCACCACAACTGAGCCCAAAATTTCTGTTAAGTAAGCGAGACATTTGTTAAGTGAGTTTTGCCCCATTTTTACCACCTTTCCTGCCACGGTTGTAAAGCGAATCACTGCAGTTGTTGACTTAGTAGGACAGTTGTTAAGTAAATCTTGGCTTGGCAGAAGTTTGCAAAAGCTGATCACATGACCCCAGGACACGGGCCACCCATTTGCCCAAATTTTGATCACGTGATCACGGGGGGGGGGCGGAATGCTAAAAGGATTGTTAAGTAAAAGAGCCTTGATAGTACAGTGGTCTAGGCACCCTGTTATTAACACAGCTGCCTGCAATTTACTGCTGGTTCGAATCTCTCCAAGGCTCAAGGTTGACTCAGCCTTCCATCCTTTCTAAGGTAGGTGAAATGAGGACCCAGTTTGTGGGGGCAATAAGCTGACTTTGTATAAATATACAAAAGGATGAAGGCTACTGCTTAACGCCTTGTAAGCCGCCCTGAGTCTCCGGAGAAGGGCGGCATATAAATCAAATTAAAAAAAAAAAAAAGTATGAAAAATGGGCATCAGTCACTTTTGTTCAGTGCCGGTGTAACTTTGAGCGGTCACTCGATGAAACGGTTGTAAGTCGAGGACTACCTGTATAAAAAAGTAATTCAGAACGTCTTCAAAATAGGGGGCCAGGAGCAGTCAGGGCGAAGGGCAAGGAGCGGTAGGTCGCCGCTCTAGAGCCCTGGTGGCCCTTTAAGGCTGAGAGCCACCTCCTGGACTTCTTGCAGGTACAACTGCTTTGTCCCTGGGCTGCAGCCAGAATCGCTCCGATCAGAATGCGCCGTTCCACATAAAGCTAAAGCAGCGTTCGAGTTGAAAGGCAAGCGGAGGCAGCGGGCGGAGCAGGGCTCGCTCCCAACCTCTAGCCTGGGACCCGGAGCAGCTCCTTCGGGCTTAATAATAAACTGTCTGCTGGCTAAGCACTCGGAGCTGGCAGCCTGGCGAGCGAGTCTGACTGCACGCCGTGGCGGAGCCGCTGCCAAAAAAAAAAAAAGGGCCACCCCCACCTTTTCTCCTCTGCCGCTGCCCTTTCCCGGGACAGCCCTCGCATTCTGCGGACGGGCAGCGGCGTCCTGACTGTGGGAGATGGAGCCCCGCTGGGAGGAGGAGGAGGAGGAGGAGGCGCTGCCGAAGAAGCCGGACCCGGGCGAGGTGGAGCGAGGGAAAGCCAAGCGGGCCGGGGAGGGAGCAGGTGCCGCGGGCATCGCGCCGCTCGGAGAAGGCGGCTCTCCTCCTGCAAGCCGCCCGGCGGAGGAGAGAATGCCCGAGGAAGGTGGGAGCCAAGGGCGAGGGGATTCCTCGAACGACGACGCCGTCCGGCGACAACGGCCCAACGGTTGCAGCAAAGCAGCTGGACGGAAGGAAGAGGAGGAGGAGGAGGAGGAAGAAGAGGAGGAAGGCTCGGCAGAAGAACTAGGCGCCAGGCCCACCCGAGCTGGCTCGGCCCCAGAGGAAGATGTCAGGCTCTCTGCCCCGGGGCAAGAGGCGGTCATGTTCAAGAGAAGAGCGGTGGAAGATCTGCAACCCACTGGAGAGCCGAGGGGCTCCGAAGAAGCCCTGATGGGGGAGCTCTCCGAGATGGTACACAAGGTGGTGAAGACCAGCAGCTGGTGGGAGAGGCACGGGGTGGATGACACCATTATTGCTCTTAACCTCCTTAGCCTACCTCTAGGTAAGGAAGGGGTTCCCACCCGTGTTGGGTGGGTGGGTGGGAGGGACAGCCCTATCATTCCACCTGGGTTTCTGTTCTGCCCATCAGGAAATCCACTCTGCCTGCCACAAAGTGGGTCCTACTAGGAAGCAGTCACCTTTCCTAAAGAAGGTGAGCATCAAACATCCCTGGTTTATCACACACACACACACACACACACAGAGGCATGTTTAAGGCAGTGTTGCCTTGCAACAGTCCCTAAGGCAGGGAGGGGTGTTAACTTCATCCACTGGTGTAGGCAAAAGACCTAGTTGCTGATCCGGTTGGTTTCTGTGTCGTAGATGATGTAACAGGGGAAGCCACTGAGGAAAAATAACATAGCACGTGGCAACACTGTGGCAACACCTTAAAGAGTAACGCCTTCCTTACTGTATTGCAGAAGCTGGTACAGAAAGGAACTGTGTTTCATGCATGTGTACGCAAGGGGAGAAAGTGTTAGTCTTAAATTCTGACAACAACCTTTGTTGCTTTTGGAACAAACTAGGAAAGTACAGTGTGTAATTTCTGATGACTGATTAGCATCTAGCAGTGAAATCTTGTCCTACTTAAAAGTTTCTTTGGCATTTCTGACTGCTCACCAAGAGATGGGCTAGATGAAATGGAAATTTTGTGTGATCCCAACTACAGCAGCCTGTAGTGCCCCCACTTTTTTTGGCATGCTGACAACAATTTTCATATAGCAACATGACTTACGATTATCTGATGTGCAACAGAAAAAAGGCCTATAAAAATGAGCGTAAAACACTGCTCCAGTGTTGTTATAATTGACAATGGAACAAAACGGATTCTTAAAGAGCTTGCCATGAATATGTGGTATATGTGGTAAAATATATTAAGCAAGGATAATCATAGCGGATGAACTTTTCTACGGTGGTATAAAACTGCATTACCTTGGCTTATTGTACATATATCCTGCAACTTTGTGAAACAGACTGGGTTGAGAATGATTAGCTGGGTAGAGAGTGCCCCAGTAAGCTCTACAATTGAGTAGAATTTGAACTTGGCTTCAATATCTTAACTATGAGCCCACCCTGGTGGTTTAAGAGTTGTTCTGCATGACAACACTAAGGTGCTGCTTTCTAGTGTGAGACAGCAGAAAATAATGCCAGTTTGAGGAAGTTCTGACTGCATTTCCAGCCCCTACTTTGTCTTGGCAATGGAAGAGGCCAGGTGTTTTATCCACACCAGAAGTAGGGAGGGCTGGGGAACACCAGAAACTGGCTGTAGATGGGTCTGCTGGGATCATTTTCTGGAACTGGAGAACTGAAAACAAATAAGCTTTTCTCCATTTCTCTCTCCCTCTTCTCTTGCTGCCTGGTGGGGAAAAGGGAAACAGCAAATATTTTTTAGTTTCCTCTTACAGGAAAGAAAGTAGGATGAAAGTGCCATGGTAAAGCTACCCAGGGGTGCTGGTAGAAGAGCTCCAGGGCCTGCTTTAATTTGGAAAATTTCACTCTGAGGCTTCTAACAGGTGTTGGGCTCCCTCCTCTGACTTTTTCTATGAAGGAGTTATGGCCACAACTCTATGAAGAAACTGTGGGACATTTCACTGCGGTTCCATAATAAAATAGCTCATGGTTTCCTTGAAGATCTACTAGAAGATCTGGCAGTCATGTGAGAAGGACTATTAGAACAGGCAGACCTGTGAAGAAGTCAACACAGAACTTTCTTAGCCCTATGGGGAAGCAGTGTTTTGTACAGCTATCAAACATATTGTGGGTGGACTACTGGACATGTATCAGCTTAACATGAATCTGTGGTGCAAGTGGACCAGTGACACATCAGTCGTGGCCCTCACAACTTCAGTGTGGATGTATCAAAGTTGTGGGGTTGGGACTAGATATCCCCCAGTTTCAAGAGCTGTTCTTGAAACGTCATTGGTTCCTTTTTGACACATGCCCTATATCCAAAACTCTGCTGGTTCACTCTGGACTGATGTACTAAAAACTTCTGCTTTAGGGCTAGCTATACTGAGGTGGCAGGCAGTTGTACTGCAGGAGAGCACCGTGCAGGAAACTTCTGTGGAGGGAGGAGAATCAGATCATTTTAATGCCTCTCAAAGTCTCCTTCTTCTTTCCTGCATCCCGTCAGTAGGAAGAGAAGTGGGAAACATGGGTGTTTGGCTCAGCAGAAAACCTTGACTGTCTCACTGCCAAAAGATAAATGACTCTGAAAACTGGTGGCCAGGGCGAGGAAGGGAGAATGGCCAATAAGAATAGGATAAGTGCCTTTCTCTGAACTTTGCTTAGAATTATTTGCTGACTGCTTGGCTCTGCTTCTGCCAACCGAAGTATGAAAATACTGTTTTCACAGAGGAGCAAGAAATGAATGGATGCAGGCTTCATGGGGGAGGACAATGCAATCCATTCCAGTTGAGAAATTGCACATGGGCAGTCCTCATCCCAGAGCAAGCAGGGCGATAAGCCCTAAGTATCTTTGTGCTGTGGGAGTAGTACAGTTGATCTAAGAGAATAAGTCAGGGATGTTCAAGCTGAATACTTCAGAGCATTTTGCTGTACAGTCCTAGAATTAGTGAAACTCTAAAACGTTCTCTTTCTCTTTATATCAGAAAGGTCTGCAACAGGAATGCAGGGAGGAAAAGCTTGAAGGCATAGTTTCCTCAGTGAACCTTCGTAAGGGCAGATTTGAAATGCTTTTCTTTTCTGAAGTAGTCATGAAAACAGAATACCTAAAATGCATTTGAAGGGAGCAAGGTGTCTCGATGCATTACCCAACAACAATCCACCTGAATATTGTGTATAGTATGTGACAGCCTTCTCCGATCTGGCATCAGGCAGATATATTGGTTTGTAGCATCTTTTGGCCATAGCCAACATAGCCAAATGCCATGCTGATAGGAATGATATGCACCGTGGCCCAATTCATATGGAAGATATGAGGCCAGGGAAGGTGAAATACAGAACCCCAAACAATTATATCAATGAAATTAGAACTATTCTTTTGGGACAGCCTCTGGAAACAAGTTATTTTTCTTTATTTTCTGGGGCAAATTATTCAGATTTAGTAGGAGGGCCCCAGTTCTGATTCATGCTATCTTTTCATGTCTCTCCATTGGAGACCTTGGGTTACCACAATCTTTTGACCTTCCTTATTTATGTGGCATGTTTATTTCATAGACAAAGTACCGTAGGATAATGCAATAAATCCCTTGAAGAAAGGGCAGGGCAGATATACAATATACATGCCAGATTCTCCTATCTTTTGAGATAAAAAATGTATCTTATATGATTCATTCAATATATGATGAAGAGATTGACAACTAGGGAAAAGTGTGTCTGTTTCATAAAATGCTTTGCAACTATAAATATAGCAACATTATGCTTGCTGTAAGATGAACTCTGGTCCTTCAATTATTTCTAGGCTGGACAAATATCCATTGAGACTATTAATAGGACAAGGTGCCTGCTTATATCATTAATGGATTATTCCAATAACATTGGAATAATCGTACTGGATGCAAGTCATGTCCTGCAGATATACACTATTTTTGTATTTAAGGTATCAGCATAATGCTTTCAGATATCAGACTAGAACCAGATGTGATAGCAGATCTGTAAGAGGCTGAAATATGAAGTCATCACTGTCATGTCATATTATCTGCTTTCATCCTAGAATGTGACAATGCCACCTTATCTCAAGGAATGGTCTTGCACAGACAGAGAGAGTCATACTGAATGTTCTTTAAATTGATGGTTCAGCCAAAATAAATACATCATAGGGCCCACTAAAATGGGCAAAATTGGGTCTTTGGTTATATATTTTAGAGATTGTTTAGCAGAGGTAATTACAAACGGAAAAGGGATATTAAATTAGAGATTATCTTACTGCAGCCTTCTTAACTTCTGCCCTGCCTTTCAAATATGATTTGTGTTTCAAATCGGTTGGGACTGCAATTCCCGGCAAATCTACCCTTGCTACAAGAGTTCTGGGACTTCAACTGAAATGCCCTGCTGGATCTTCCAAAAATAGGAATCTCCGTAAAACACACAATTAGGCAATCATTAAAGCATTAAGCTTTGTTGAACTGTAAATAGCAAGCCAGTCTCCTATCTCATGGCTATCTATCTATAGACAACTGACTAAAGAATAGAAAACAATAAGAGTAAATGGACATTTTTCACAATGAAGAGATGTAACTAGTGGGGACTCCAATGCTCTGTTCTAGGAGCTTTTTAACTTATTTGTAAATGATCTGAGATGACTAGTGGACTAGCCAACACAGCTTGACACCAAATTGTTCAGAATGGTAAAAACAATGAAGAATTATAAACAGTTCCAAAAGGATCACTGCACCAATGGGCATCAAAATGTCAGGTGTTATTCTGCGTGACCAAGTGTAAAGTGATGTACATTGGCCCCCAAAAATCTAACTAGTCCTACAAACATATGGGTTCAGAACTAGCAGTGATTGATAAAGAAAGAGATATTAATGATAAACACTTCAATGAAAATGTTGACACAGGGTCAACATCCGCTATAAAAAAAGGACAACAGCATCATAGGGATAATAAGAAATGAGTTGTCAATATTGTAATGCCCATATCTAGAACAGGGGTGTCAAACTCAAGGCCCGCGGGCTGAATCTGGCCCGTGGCGTGCTTAAATCTGGCCTGCAAGGCTGGCCTGGAAATATCAAAGGACCAGCCAATGGTGCCTCTGCTGGCCAAAATGGGCTGTGATGAGGCATTGCAAGGCCCCTGCGTGACCATTTTTGGCCTCTCCAGCCTCCAACAGCACTCTGCTGACCAAAAACGGGCTTCCATGCGGAGGCCTCACAGGGTCTGTTTTTGGCCAGCAGAGTGCTGCTGAAGGCAGGGAGGCCAAAAATGGACCTTGCAGGGCATCCATGGGGCCCATTTTCAGTCGGTAGCGTGCTGCAGGCGGCCATGGAGGCTGAAAACAAGGCATGAGGGGCCACGTGTAACCTCCCCTGAGCCCCATTTTGGCCGGCAAAGTGCTGCAGGAGGCCATCCAGGCCAAAAATGGGGGCGGGGAGGCCACATGCGGCTGCCCCACACCCTGCTTTGGCCAACAGAGTGCTGCAGGAGGCGTTTGTCCCATTTCCCCCCCCCCATCAGCCTGCGGCAGAGAGCTACAAAGCTGATCTAGCCCTCAAAGAAATCCAGTTTGACACCCCTGATCTAGAATATTCCTGTTGATGAATCTCAAAGGAATATAATAGAATTAGGGAAAGTTCAGAGGAAGGCAACTGAGATGATGAAGGGGCTGGAGTAGCTTCCCTATAAAGAAAGTTTTCAATATTAAGTCTTTTTTAGTCTAGAAGGAAGACGAATGACAGGTGACATGCCTGAGATGATCAAAATTATGCATGGTATGGATAATGTGGATGAAGAAAGCTATTTTCCCATTCCCAAAATACTAAAATCAGAGGCTACCCAATGAAATTGAATCCTGGAAGAATCAGAGCAGAAAAAAGAAAAAAATAGCAATAGCACTTAGAGTTATATACCACTCCATAGTGTTTTACAGCCCGCTCTAAGCAGTTTATAGAGTCAACATATTACCCTCAACAATCTGGGTCCTCATTTTACCGATCTCAGAAGTATAGGAGGCTGAGTCAACCTTGAGCCGATCAGGATTGAACTGCTGGCAGTCGGCAGAGTCAGTCTGCAATACTGCATTCTAACCACTGCGCCACCATGGCTCTTTGGTGTACACAAATACACAGTCAAACCTTGGTATTCATTACTAACAAGGTGTGGTGCTGGCTACCAGTTTGGCTAGCTTCAAAAAAGGGTTGGACCAATTCATGGAAGTCATGGAGATCACCCTTGATGGCAGTGCGGCTGTCTCTGAAGGCTTCTACTGGGGGAAAAATGGGCTTCCTTCAGTGGTGGGTTCCTCCCGGTTCGGTCCGGTTTGGTCGAGCCGGTAGCGGTGACGATATGATGTCACCAAACCGGTTCTCCTCACCCGCCCTCCCCCCCATCCCCCACGTTATTCTTACCTTTTATTTGATCCCACCCCCAATCTATTGGTGCCTCCTGAGTCCCAGCTGATGACTAGAGGGAAAAAACCTGTTTAAACTCTTACCGCGGGGCTTCAAAGGGCCGTCCTACAGCTGATCAGTGTTAAAAGCAAACAAATGAGTCGGGTCGTAAGTGCGAGGACTGGTCGTAAGTGCGAGGACCTTCCAGAAATGACTCTGACCAGCTAGCCATGCCCACCTAGTCACATGACCTCCAAGCCACACCCACAAAATAAGCCACGCCCACAGAACCGGTAGTAAAAAAATTTAGAACCCACCTCTGGCTTCCTTGCTTGGTTGGCCACTCTGAGAACAGACCTTGGATGAGATAGCCAGAGATCTCATCCAGCAGGACAATATTTATGTTCTCATGTGCCAAGAAAATGTTCTGCCTCTCTCCTGTAGCTTTGAACTAAACCTAGTTATCAAATTATATTTGTAAAGATTGTTGTGGAAGATAATAAATGACATGAATCTGGACTGCATTTTTGCCTTTGCTTATATCTGGAAAGATTCTAAGTGCTTCTTTTCCATTTCCAGGATTCCTGCTTCTACGTTCCAGTAATCCTTTTGTGTTCCTGGTGGGCATTGCTGTCCTGGGTGTAGCCCATCATACCCTCGCTGTGAAGGCAAGCCACTTGGCTAGCCACAATGCTCTGGTGGAATCCAAATCATGGGGGAAATTATGGAGCATATTCTTCATTGAGGTTTGTTCTTAGCTAATCCCATTCTCTGAGAGATAGAAAGCATGACAAAACTGTGGGTATGTGATATTCGTCCAAATTGAAAAATTGACACAACCTGCAGAAATTACATTAGCTAAACCAAACCATCATATGTATTTATTTCATTTGCTGTATACACTGCTAAAATTATACAATTTATGAGAGTTAATGATCATAGTTAATAAGAAAGTGAACATGGTCATTCTGAAACATGCCCGTCCTGATTTTCAAGTTTCAATACAGCCTACTATCAATGTTTCACTGCAAAATTATTTGGAAATCCTTGGGGATATTGCCAGATCCATACAACTCAAAGTACAATGCTTTCCAGATTTATTTTTTTCTTCAGTACTGTGCGAGAGAACAACTAGCTTAATGCTACGTTGATTCATTGCTTGTGTGAATGCAGTAACGATGAATTAATAATACCAGCAATTAAATTAATTGTGGCTACTTAAAATCAAAGAAATGATAGCAATTGCCAAGTAGATTAAATCTGCAATCTGGGTCTTTTAAAAAGACATGTTATTTATATTGTGAAGAATATTAATAGGTGGCACCTGATGTTGATACTCCATAAATACACAATTGTTATTTGGACATAATGTCTAAGGAACGAAGGAGTTCTTTCCACATTAATTAACTAATTAAATATGTCAATCATGCTACGTCAGTAATCAGAAGTCTTATTTTAGGTCTAATAAAGTTTTCATTCCCTCTTTATTGAATCTTGATAGATAATTGCATTAATATATTAGAAAATCCTTTCCTCCTTCCTCTTGTTAAGTCATACAAAAGTAATAACATTAGTGCCACAATTGGCAAAAGATAGTTCTGTTGTGTTTTTGCAAGTTAGTAGAATTGGGAATATTTAATGGCTTTTAATGTTATTTGCAATTAAGCTGTATTGCACATCACAGTAAAATGGAACTAAAAGTGGCATTATTCTGATTAGAGGGATTTCTGTTCCACCGAAGGGCAGATGGTTGGAACAGCTTGAACTTAATCAATATCTCCAGTCAACAATCAATAACCTATTTCCTTCTCAGCAGCATTCTAACAAAGTCCAGAATAATGTTTCATGTAGATTATAATTACATTTTTATTCTTTGTCTGAAAAGAATGAGTGGGAAATAGCCAGCATACATGCCCCAAGAACGGAATGGGACAACTTGCCCCAGCCAACCAGCCATGGCTAACTCGCCACAGGACAACTTGCTGTGGGACAATTCAATTTAGTTAAAATAGTTAATTAATTAAGTATATAATTAATTTTCATCATTCACCTTTCATTTTGTCCCTCCTTTAGCATCCTTTCTTTAAAGATTCTATTGCATTATTTTTTCCATATTAGTGTAACTCTTGTCCCACTGTGAGTTGGTCGTGGCGAGTTGGCTGTGGCGAGTTGGTCGTGGCGAGTTGGCCATGGTGAGTTGGCCATGGTGAGTTGGCCATGACGAGTTGGTGGTGGTGAGTTGTCGTAGACCTCCCCCCCAAATAACGGCACTACTTGGGGAAAAATAAACCACAGATTTATTGAATTGAGCCAGTAATGCATTGCACCCGAACTAAATATACTGAAAGTGAATGAATGGAGACTATTTATACCTGATCCCCTGATTCATTTTAGGAAGCTCATTTATTGACATAGGTGAAGTGCTTTTGATTCTGTATCATAAACAGAGAAGAAGATATTTCTGGTCACAATTAGTACAACTGAATGACCTTCAGAGAATCGAAAATACTTTAGTGCTTATTTTATATTTCCAAATTTATTTTATTGTGGACTAATATGGATGCATTAAATGCATATATACTGAAACATATGAAAGTCTGCAATAGAAAAGAGCAACTCAGAGAGCCGCAATTGAAAAAAAAACCCACTTCTGAATCTGTTTCTATGGCTCTCGGTTGCTGCTTTTTTTGTACCGAGGTGGGTTTTCGGTTTCAAAAATGGCTGACAAACCACAGGTAGCCCTTGATTTACAACCATTCGTTTAGCAACCACTTGAACTTACAATAGCCTTGAAAAAAAGTGACTTACAACCAGTCCTCATGCTTACAACCATTGCAGCAGCCCCACAAGCACATGATCAAAATTTGGGTGGTTGGCGACTGGCACATATTTACCACAACTGGGTCATGGGATCGCCATTTGTGACATTTCCAGCAAGCAAAGTCAACAGGCAAACCTGGATTAACAACGACATGATTCATTAAACAACACAATTCACTTAACAACTGCAGTGATTAGTTAACTGTTAGAAAAAGGTTGTAAATCAATGTGACTCACTCAACCGCCTTGCTTAGCAGCAGAAATGCTGGTCCCAAATTGTGGTTGTAAATCAAGGATTATTTTATTAGCAAGGTAGGCATTCTGGTAGTGATTTAATGTTTGAATTTCATAGAATTGTAGATTTGGGAGGGGCTCTTTTGGCCCTCCAGTCCAATCTCCTATTTAATGCAGGAATCCAAAATAAAATATTCTGGACAGATGGCTCTGTCTGTAGTCCCCACTTGAGCACATATAATGAAGGCAGCCAACACCTCTCTGCATGATTGGTTCCATTTTTTATTTGCTCTTACTGCTTTGGTAACATTTAATCATAATCTGTAATGTAATTCCATTATTCTGTGTCTTGCAATCTGGAATGAGAGAGAACAAGCCTTGACCTACTTTGATCGGACAAACTTGTGGATATCTGAAAAGCATTATCGTGCATTTGTCTTTTCTCAAGACTAAGCATGCCCAACCACAGCAATGTCTCTCTTCATAAAGCTACGTTTGAGTCCTCTCATTATCCACACGTTCGCTAAACCTTCTTTGAATGCTTTTAAAGTGTGGTGCCCAGAACTGGATACAGAAATCTAGATGAGATCTATCCAAACCAGAATAAGGTGGAACGATTACGTCTCATGATTTCTAAATTATATTTCTAATTATACTTCCCTTCAGTCCTAACTAGTATGGCCAGTGGCATTAGTATGTGGAAACTGTATCAGAGTATCTAGAGCAAGGATGTCAAACTCACGTCATCATGGTGGTGTCGTGACGCATCGGGACTTTTTCCCCCTTCACTAAACCCCAGCGTGGGCATGGCCAGTGCGTGACGCATCTGGCCCGTGGGCCGGGAGTTTGATAGCCCTGATCTAGAGAATTACAAGTTGAATACTTCTGTGGTGTATATATGTTTTATGTATAATTGAATGACATAGGCTGACTAAATGTCTCCACTGGTACATTATGGACTCCTGAAGGTGACTATAGTGAAACTGTTATCCCATCATATACCTGTTTAAATCAAATGACTGTTTAAATCCAATTAAATGATTTAAAGATTTACTGTATGCTGTTATCAAAATTTAGGAGGGCAACTTTAAAGAGCTTCATTTGTATGATCTGCTGTAGACTTCTTCTTCAACGTGGTTCCTTCTAGCTGCCATATTTTGGAATGCAACTCTGACTGTTGAGCATTATGCATAATGCACCCATTTCTTGGGTGATGGGAGCTATATTCTAACACATCTGCCGGGTACCAAAAGACGTATCATATACATATGTGGGTAATTGCAGTGTTCTTTATTTACCATTTCTTTCTCTCCTAGGTTTGCTCCTCTTTCACAGCAGAACGAGGATCCTACAACCATGTCAAAATGCACCATGCTTATACAAATGTCATTGGCCTTGGGGATTCCAGTACATGGAAGGTTCCTTTCCTGAACCGTTATGTTTATATGTTCATTGCACCTATTGCTGTACCTGTCATCACTCCTTTAGTAGCCATTGGTATGTTACTGTCCTCCGAATCCCCCTACTAATGAGCATACCCTTCTCTTCATCCGTTTTACAGTGTTAATGTTGAATGCAATTAACTCTCTTCGTTAATATTGTCTGTCATTATAGCTTACTGTATGTGGCATTCGGCCTTTGAAAGAATCAGAGAAGTAGAACGAATAAAGATAAACCAGCAGCCTAAACCTTCTTCCATGAGATAAAGCTATTCACCCAGCAGCTTGCAACACAGATTATATGATGTGTTATTGGATAAGAGTCTCTCCCAAATCCCTTTGCTCCTGTTTAATTTAAAAAAAAAATCTATACTAAAAAAAGAGAGTAGATTTTGAAAGATTACAATCAGGTCCCTGGATTTTTTTAAAAAAGAGAATTTCAAATTTGATCAGAGAATAAGCACTGGGGAAAGCGGCATCTGATCCTTTCCCTTGAAAAATTAAATTATCCCCCCCCCCCCCAAGCTACAATGTGTATCTTAGAAGGGAGAGCCTTTATTTTCTTCTCTTGGGAGTTCCACCCATCAAAAAATAGTTAACTCCTTCTTTCAAAACACAAAATCTGTGGAGAGTCTCAGTCATCCAGGTCATGGTTGTCCCAAAGGTACTTTTTCTGGAGGCAACTGGATTATCTTGTTTTTTCCTTTGAAGACATTTTGCTTCTCATCCAAGAAGCTTCTTCAGCTCTGTAAGAATAGTGGGGAATGGAAGGATTTATATTCCTTGCAGACAGCTGGTCATTTGTATCCTTTTAGAGGGTCGTTGAAGCACTTGGAGGTTTATCTGTGTCCTCACGGTCACCTGAGTAGTGCTCCTAGTTCCTGTAGTCTGCAATTTTTTCTCTGGAAATCCATTCCTACTCCCACACCATTCAAAACGTGTTCATCCCAAATTGTATACTTAAAAGTCTGTAGAGATTCTCAGTCATCCAGGTCATGGTTGTCCCAAAGGTGCTTTTTTTCTGGACGCAACTGGACTTTCTTATTTTTTCCTTTAAAGACATTTCGCTTCTCAGACTTTTAAGCCTACAATCATGTGACCGTGGGGATGCTGCAATGGTCATAAGTGCCATTGTAACTTTGAATAGTCACTAAGTGAACTGTTGTAAATCAAAGCTTACCTGTACAAGATATTGAGAAGAGATGAGAGGAAACATCTAGCCATTTCTCACTACCGGTAGTGACTTCTTTAGGTAAGATCTCTGAATTTCCTTTTCCAAGGCTGTGTGCACGATGGGCTAAGCATCCATTTCTTTGACAAGTCTGTAATGTCCTTTCCTGTTAAGGATATTGTTGTGTTAGCAACCAGCAGAGCATAGAGCACATGGAAACGGTGCTGAGAGCAATAATGAATAAAATACATATAAACTGGTTTATCGAAGTTTTTACTTTGTAGTGAAAATACATATTCATCATGTTAGCTTATATATTGCCTGGACAACCTGTTAGGCATGCACCATATCCTAACATTTCCCATCCTGATTGTTCGTCTCAATAAATACTCCCTTCCCTTTCTCAGTCTCAGAGCAATTTCTTGTCCTCTTTTTTCTACAAAAACTGTAACAAGAAGAAAACTGGCTTCCCAGTAAACAGTAGCTTGACTTATTGTTCGTTTCCATAGGTTTACTCACAGAAGTAGAACTGAAAACTGCCATTCGTACTCTGTGTTGTATATTCATTGGTCTGTATGCCCATTGTTGGCTGCTGCTTAATATCTCAGGGTTCCAGTCTATCTGGTCTACACTTGGCTGTATGTTGATCACCCGTGCTCTCCTCGCCCATGCATACATCCATGTCAATATCTTCCAGGTAAGGCTATCAACCCTATGTTGTATGAAGAAATCTATTAGATGAGCATCTCTTGGCATAAGTATCCTGCATTGTAAAAGTGTGCATGTTTTCCCTTTGAGTATATTCTGGTTGCCCAGACATGCCGTATGTCCAGATGCTGCTTATAGATGAAGTACCCCTTGTTACAGTGTATTTAGCTAGGCTTTGCCCGTCAGCGCAGAAGATCCATCAAATTCTGATGGGCCATTATCCCTCAATCCATTCCCGGGAACCATAATTTATTTAAATTTTAAATATTACTAGTTTGCTGATATTAATAGATATTTTTTACTTTGCTGCAATTTTAGATACTATACTTAATATAAAACATTAAGTACATTAAGTACATTAAGTAAAACATTAAAATATTAATAGATATTTTTACTTTGATGCAATTTTAGATATTATACTTAATATAAAACAGTGTTTATGTTATACGCTACATCCTGGGTTTTATATTTTGTATGTTGGATGCTAGTAAGGTCGTTTTACAAATGTATTTTAATTCTGTACTGAATTTTATTTGTCAATTATTATTACTGGTCTTCGATCGCAGTAAATCGAATTGAACAATTGACTGGGAAACTAAAGTGATTGAGAAAGGGGGCTTTAGAGACTCTGAAAAGTTAATTGGAGCAACTATTTTCAATGTGTATGCTATTTTTAACTATGTGATTGCGCTGAGGCTAGGATCTTGTGCATACTCACATAAAAATAAGGATGTTTCTAGCTGTAGGCTTCTTAGAAGCAACATAATATTGGGCAATCATTTCATCATTCATTTTGAAAGAGGTCTTTTTAAATTAAAAAATATATACTGGGAAAACATGGAAGTGTTTCTGGTTGTCCTACAGAAACTTGGTGAGATATAGCTTTACATAATCATGGCGAGATTTGCTTCCAGATATTTGATTGTATTATTATTTTTAATTAAATGGTGAATATTGAGTATTTCTTAGAAAGAGTCTAATTTTGTATTTGGGGAACTTGGATCTTCAAATGTTGCTGAATTCCCAGCATCTGTCTCTACTGGCTCTGCTGGCTGAGAGCAGTAAAATGTAGAGGGCTATAGGTTTTCCATCTCTTGTTCATACCTGCTCGCTTTATGTATGAGTTTTTCTCCAAATATTCCACAGAATGGAATCTATAACATTGCAAATTGCAAAGAAATTGGACAAAACATTCAGATGAGCTGGTGCTGGTACACTGGTTAGAATGCAGTATTGCAGGTTAACTCTGGGCAGAGCCAGGAGTTCGATCCTGACCGACTGTGGGAAGAATTAGTCAGCAATACTGCATTCGGCTCAAGGATGACTCAAGGATGAATCCTTCAATCTTTCTGAGGTCGGTAAAATGAGGACCCTCTCACTGGTCTAGGCAAAACCCAGTAGGGGGACAAGTAAGAGTTGGGACAATCATGCAACTATGGCAAACTCTGCTTTAATTCAACCCACAAGTAAGCCAGAGCCTCAGAACACAGTGAGCAGGAAAAAGAAAAGTCCTTGTAAAGTTTTGAAGTCCTTGGCCCGCTCCCTGGCCAGCCTGCAGCCACGCTCAGTAAGCTACCATCCGCTGGCGGCCTGTGTATGTCTGGTTGCCGATGCCCATGCAGTCGGGATGGCCCAGCTGATTGCGCACGGTTGTCATGGGAGCCTCCGGAAGCTGCCGCTTTCTCAGCTGAGTGGCGCAGCCTTGAGGAAGGTTCGGCAGGTGGCTCCACTGTCACAGGGTTTATTACCTGAACGATAGGAAAGAACCCTAGGTACTTAGGCCCCAGCTTTTTGCACAGTACCCTCAACCTAAAGTATTTCGTGGAGAGATCTGCTTGGTCCCTGACCTTAAAGGATTTTTGGGCTGCTCATTTCTTATCGGCCTGAATCTTATAGGTTTCAGCCGCTTTCTGCAATGCCGCTTTTACCACTCCCCAGGTGTCTGGTATCTTGTCTGCCCTGGGTCCACTCCGGAATGGGCTTAAACTCCACCCCATGCACCATCTGGAAGCGGGTAAACCTGGTGCTGCTGTGCACCGCATTATTGTATGCTACTTCTGCGAAGGGAAGTAGGCCTGCCCAGTTCATCTGTTGATATGAGACGTAACATCTCAGATAGCGTTCCATCATGGCATTTGCTTGTTCAGTGGCCCCATTGGTGCCAGGATGGAATGCTGAGCTCAAGCCTTGGGAGGAACCTATGAGGCGTGCAAAGTCTCACCAGAACCTGGTGGTGAATTGCACCCCCCTATCTGAGATGATACATCAGGGCACTCCATGGAGACGGTAGATGTGAGCAATAAACAGTTTGGCTAACCACCATGCCAATGGTATCCCAGTGCGTGGCACGAAATGTGCCTGTTTTGAGAACAGGTCAATAACTGTCCATATTATGGTGTACCCCTTACTCTCTGGCAGGTCTACTATGAAGTCCATGGCGATCTCTTCCCACGGTCTGACAGGATCAGCCACGGACTGCAGGAGGCCTAGTGATTTTCCAGGCCGTGCCTTCATTGCTGTGCACATTGGACAACTTTTTACATAGTTCTCAATCTCTGCCCTCGTGAGGGGCCACCAGAACTGCCGTTTGGCTAGGTGGAGGGTTTTAAGGAACCCGAAATGGCCAGCCTGTTTGACGTTGTATCATCGCTGCAACACAGTGGGTCTTAGGGCAGGCAGTATATATAGTTTGTGATTCCTCCTGTTCTCTGTGCGTGAACTGTGTTTTGTTCTCCACCAGCCAGGAGCCCTTCAACGATGCTGGTTTAGGGTTAGGGGTTAAGATTGCTGGGGGCAATAGGCTGACATTTGTAAACCGCTCAGAGTATGCTATAAAACACTATGTAGTAGTATATAAGTCTAAGTGTTGGTGCTATTGCTATTTCACAGATAAAAAATCCTTCTTGGCTGACAGCATTGCTATCCCAAGAGTTTTGGTCTCCTAATGTCCTAATAAATTAACATTTGTGGTTTATTTTATAGCATATTGGCCTACCCATGTTTTCACCTGATAAGAAGCCAAAACGAATCCACATGATGAGCTGCGGAGTTCTCAATTTGCCTCGAAATCCTCTGCTGGACTGGACTTTTGGACACTCGCTCATTAGTTGCCATGTGGAGCATCACCTCTTCCCAGGTTTTTCTGATAACATATGCCTGAAGGTGCGAGGTTGAATGGCGGATGGAATGGGCATTTGGAAGAGTAGGGTGGGACAAAATAAATACCTGCTGAATGTTTACTTGTAAAGAAAAGGGTATGTGATTAAAAGCTGATAAGTTTCATATAGGCCAAAATCCTATCAGTCAACAACAGGGAAAAAAAGTTATGTTCTTGATCAGAAATTAGTTTTTACATAGTTCAGGATGCTTTGATATTGAAAGGGGGCAACTGGGCAAAAACTACACATCCTATAGACCTGAAATCATATTTTCTAAAGAATAAGTTTCATTTTTGAATGATAAGAAATATATTTCACATTGGATGTTCTAATCCTTCCTTCTATGGATCATATATACAGCTACAGTAATTTCATTTTACTTTATGATACTTTACATCACAAAATTGTTGGTTTCTCTTCAAGAATTCTTCAAGTTCTCTTAAGGGAGCTAAAATGAAAGGTGTCTCAGAGGTTGCTAAAGCACTCTGTCTATACTGTTTAATTAATACTTATTTCAGTTGTATATATGTTGGGAAGCACCCAGTCTGGCAAGGAGAAGGGCTTAAATGCAGAGTTAGCCTGGAGTCACTACACTCCCATCAAAAGGCTATGATCAATACCCAACCTCCAGACTCTTTGGAACCTTATCTATTTGTTCCCAAGAGAAAGCTGCCAATTGGGAGATTCCTGTTTTATAGGTAGAACATAATAAAGTAGTTAGCTTGAACGCTACGTGTATGGATCTTGTTGTTTGCACCTGACAAGATTTCTGCCATTTTTAGTGAGCAGCAACGTTCTTTATATTTGGCTCTGGGTCTTTCCTAATAAAAAATAAACATTAGTGTTTACTGTAATACTAACCTTATCTTTCCGTTATATTTCAGATAAAACCTGTGGTTTCTCAGTATTTGAAAAAGAAGAAATTACGATACAATGAGGATTCTTACCTTTCCCGCTTGAAGCTATTCCTGGACAAATATGAAGAACTGATGGTCCATGCACCTCCTATTACTGAACTTGTGGGGATTCAGTAATGGTATTGTTATGGCTAGAGCTAGGGCCTTAAGGCAGCATGGTTTCTTTTTTCAAGATCAATGCATTTAAAGTCTAAGTTATCAGGGGAAAATAAGTACTGTATGTTATTTATGTCTTCCATATTGGTCAAGCAAAAATGATCTTTAGATACTGGATCCAGCTGCCCAGTAATGGGTCATAGGGGAAAATCAATAGTTCCAATTAATTCAATTGTACTATCTTTGATTTTCTTCTCTGCTGTAATAATCTTTGCACACTGATATATTTAATGGATCATTTCCATTCCACTATTCTGCAACTTGAGGGAGGGAAATCTAAGGGCTATTTAATGTCCTTCCTCTTAAATTAAAATAACTTCCAAGTTAAAAGACATTTGCATAGTACAAACTTTGAAAAGTTCTGTGTAGCAATTTCTTTTCCTCATCTTGGGTATATGACAGCAAAGAGCCTTGGTAGTACAGTGGTCTAAAGCACCCTGTTATTAAGACCAGCTGCCTGCAATTACTGCAGGTTCGAATCTCGCCAGGCTCAAGGTTGACTCAGCCTTCCATCCTTTCTAAGGTAGGTAAATTGAGGACCCAGTTGTGGGGGCAATAAGCTGACTTTGTATAAATATACAAAAGGATGAAGGCTATTGCTTAGCGCATTGTAAGCCGCCCTGAGTCTCCGGAGAAGGACGGTATATAAATCAAATTAAAAAAAACAACAACATAGATCACTGCTGCTAACCGATCTGAAATCCACACTGTAGAAAGTGTAAGCTGTCTTCGCAATATATGCATTTTTAGAGCAGCCTTCCTCAACTGGTGCCTTCTAGATGTGCAGATTCCAATTACCAGAATGCCAGCTAGCATGGGAATTTCTGAAATTCTAGAACATTTGGAAAGAACACTGGGAAAGAAACTTATTAGAGGAAGCTTTTCCTAGAGGTTAGAAGAAACATGAAAAAATTGCATTGACTGTTGGACTGATATCCACGTAGCTCTAATTCCATGAGAATTTATATGGTAAAGAGATAGCTTCTGTCAGATGCTTCATAGATTTTCATTTTTTAGCACACCCTCAGCAGGTAGCAATCCCAGCCTACTTTGATTGTTCTGAGAAGCTAAGGAAGGTCAGGCCAAGAATGTGCTTAGTAGACCTTCATAGAATATCAGGTTTGAGGGCCAAACTGGAAAATCAAAAACCACCCTGGAAGACGGCAGCAGTAAGTCACTTCTGTACTGTTGCCAACTCCTCACTCCCCACACATGGATCCATTATTGCAGTTGCCAAGAGTTGAGCTTGACCTGAAGGAGACTTTACTAAAATTTCTCCTCCTGCAAGAAGCAAAAAAAAAAAAAGCTTATTTAAACTATGATGCTGAACGGTTGAAGGAAATAGAATTGTCATTACCAACGTATCTTTTATTAATACAAATGATGCAAAGAAGGACTGTATAAAAGGTCCTGCTGACAAATGTGATGATATCTATGCAAAGAGAGAATAAATTATTACCCAATCCACTTATGTGGAGGGAGTGTGATTTAATAAAAGGAACAATGTAAAAGCAAGCAGATTAGGCAAAGAAAAGCAGAAAGTAGATATCCTTGAAAAAATATTTTGAAATAAACTCTGACTTGATGAGCTGGCATGGCCCCCATGTTCTTTAGCTAGTAAAAACCAGCTCTTATCTGTTCTGAAAGTAAAAATGTTTATGTCCACACATTTATGATACAACATATAACTATTATTTACATGAAAATTACCTGGATAATAATGTGCACTGGAAACCTACATATTTTGCTGTTGTTTCTACCTAAGGGCCCATTTTTCTCCCTTTTGGAGAAGTGTCCAATGATCACTGTTTACTATTTCTGGAATGAAGTTGCATAGTGTTAGCTTTCTCCAGCTTGTTAGTAGTTTCACTTGAGTTATATTCCTAACACTGCTGAAATATGTCTATCAGGAGAACATTCTTTTCAAATATGTGTTTGAATTATGTATTTACATAATTAATTTCTAAAAGCTGGTTTGGGAAAATCTGAACTATCACTAATAACGAAAGGGCTAATTGTGCATCAAGAAGCTGAGCTATGGAGAACAAAGAGAGATCACTTCACTACTCTGAAAATACAAATCAGTGATGGATGCTTAGTGTGTGAATATATCTTGGTGACACAGTGGTTAGACTACTGTACTGCAGGCCACTTCTGATGACTATTGGCTGCCTGCAATTTGGCAGTTCAAATCCCACCAGGCTCAAGGTTGACTCAGCCTTCCATCCTTCCAACGTCGGTAAAATGAGAACCCAGATTATTGGGGGCAATAGGCTGACTCTGTAAACTGCTTAGAGATGGCTGTGAAGCACTGTGGAGAGGGATATAAGTCTAAGTAGTGCTATTGCTATAGCTATCTTTCGAACAGTTCTCATACTGTACAAGAAAAATATAAGTTTCCTTTAGTTACGTTTTAACTCCTAGTTGCTTCATGCAGACATCTGGGTAGCTTTATTGGCAACAAAATGGAAGTGATTTTCCAGTAACTTTTTGATGAAGACTCTTTTTGATTTTCCAGCTTAGCCTACAACCTGCTGTGTACTGGAAGAATAATACCCTATAACTCAAAGAGCCTTACTCTACTTGATTGATTAGGGCAGTAGATGGACTTCAATTCCCAGAATTCCTCCAGCCAGTTTGTTGGTTGGGGAATTCTTGAACTTGAATGCCATACATCTTAAAATTCCTGAAGTTGAGAAACACTGATTAAGGGTGTTACATAAATTCAGTCAGTATGTCAAGTAAATCATGTAAGTTTAGCATGGGTGAATCTAGGCAATTATGGTTTATTGAATAAAACATGCTTAACAAATCTGGTTTAAGTGTGATGTCTGAATCCAGCTATATACCTGAATGGATAGAAAATGAAAATAAATCATAACTGATGTGTTTCGTTCATGACAAATGAAACAACAGGCATTGAAAGTCCTCAAAAGTCTACCTCTAAACATTCAGATACATTTCTGGAAACCCGCCTGACCTTTAAAAGCACACACAATTGGGTTTTTTATTGACATCTTCAATTTGATGAGCACTGAGTGAAATTAAGGCTTTATCATTTCAGATTGGAAGTGAACATCACATAGAAAATAATCCTGAGCTGGCAGAGCAGGGTTAGTTGATTTAATTTCCAATCGGTTTACATTTACTAATTTAATTATCAACATGATTATCAACATGAATTTCTGTGATGGCTCTAAAGACTTCCCAATCTAACAGCATAAAGATTAAAAAAGGGGGAACATTATTCAACCCAGCTTTACTCTGATTTTGTTTGTGTGAAAAATTAATTCCACTCCTACATGCTACTAACATAATTACAGTTCAGTTTGGAAATGGTAAGTTTGACCAGCTCTAGCTTGTCTAGAATAAAGCATAACTATGTGTGTATTTATTCAACCTAGCTAGAAGCAAATACCTTTAGGGCCAATGGGCTTATTCATAGTTAAATAATTATAGTATTTCACCCTTAACAAATACTGAAATTGAATAAAGCATAATCTGTGGCTGGGTTCAGATGTCAGGCTAAGCCAAATGGAATTTATTTGAAGCCAGCTGTGCATTATTTAATAAATCATAGTAAAACATATGGAGTCTTAATTAGTACTATATAGAGCTGCAAAAATCTAGATTGCCACAAGATGGTAGCAGAGAGATGTAGAAAACTAATTCTTTCTGCCATTTAGTGGTTGCTTGTATCTTTGCAGTCCATATAGGCTAGTTTAGCATAATAGGTAAATCCACTGACAGATATGTACTTGTCACACTATTCTGTGCTCTATGTAATGCTTCAGCAGTACATTATGCAGAGCACAAAAAGGGGTTGGAAAAACTAGTCAAAGAAATTAATAGTATGAGATAAAGGGGGAAAATAAATAAAACTATTTTACATCAGTACCTTTCAATATATCTTTCCATATCTTTTGGTTCTTGAAAATAATCTTTGTGTCTAAATGCTGCTTCACACATTGCTTTTTTTCTTTAAATTTATCTTTTTTTCAGATTCTCATTAATTTCCCCATGGCACTTTCAGTCTTCCCTTTCCTGTCAATCTTTCACTCTTCATATAATTGTTGCAGTGCCCCCACCCCTCTCTTCATGATCAAGCCATCTCAAAGTATTTATTTCATGCTGATCTCTTACTTTTGCATTTATTTTACTTTCATTCACATTCATTCAGCGAACATTCATTGTTTTTCTTTTGAGAAACCCAACTCTAATTTCCAGCGTAATAAGCTGGCGGAAGACTACTCTTATATACAGCCATTTTTGTTTTTCTTTTTTTTCAGTAAACATTCCTTTTGCACAATAGGAACTTTACTAATCCCTTCTTTCAGTATTTCCATGTCCTAAAATTTCTCTGCCCAATTTCTTACTTTTATTCAATATATTGCAAAGACATAAAACCAGTGGTGGGATTCAGCCAGTTCGCACCACTTTGGGAGAACCGGTTGTTAACTTTCTGAGCAGTTTGGCAAACTGGTCGTTGGAAGAAATCATTAGGGCAGAGAACCGGTTGTTAAATTACTTGAAACCCACCACTGCATAAAACACTTATTTACTTGCTCTAGTTTTGTTATGCCATTTATAATTAAAACTAAAGATCTGGACAGAGTCATAAGGGAGAAGGCACTTTTTTCAAATAGTCTCTTTCCACGTTGTCTAGGGCCTTGTGGATTATTTATTTATTTATTTATTTATTTATTTATTTATTTATTTATTATTCGAATTTCTATACCGCCCTTCTCCTTTCGGACTCAGGGCGGTGAACAGCCAAAATAAAAACATTTATACATAAATACGATTAAAAATAGATTTAAAATAATTAAATTTGGCCCATAGTTTAAAATTTATCAATTTAAAATCCATATCAAAATTTAAAACCAACCATAAAATCATAAAATCAAGAGAGACCGGCTAACTGAAAGAGATGAGTTTTTAGGGCCCGACGAAAGGCTGGCATTTTGAATGTTGGTCTGAAACAGGACAAAATTTGATTACCTTATTACAAGACAGGAGTAATTAAAGGTAATCAAATGCTTTTTTTTTTTATTGAAAAAGTTTTCAAATACAAATTTTTCCCCCTTTTTTCCCCCCTCTCCCTCCCCCTCCCTAACCCCCCCTCCCCACCCATCCCCCCCGTGACTTCTTCATAACAAAAAAAAAAACCTAATTCATAACAGATTACTTACTCCCTCCTCTAGATATTGACCTTTACTTACTAAAAATATTATTATTATAACATCCCCCTTTATCCATACATTTCAGAAAAGAGAAAAGAAAGGGGAAAAAAAAGACATTATACTATGACATTATAGAATAACTTCTCCACTTTAAAACTATACAATAAGTCCTACTTTAACATTTAATCTTCTATATATATTACTATAACATTTCAAAGCGGCCTTCCCCATAAAATCTAGTTTAACATTTATTCCACTCTATCCATTTCCTCCACTCCCCTAAATATATCACTTAAAAATCCCTTTTCTTAGACTAATCAATCTACTAACTAGCTTATTCACCCACTATCATGCAAAATTACCATACACAACATTTCTTAATATCTTTGATTCACTGCCCACACTACTTAAAAATATATGTCTATATTTTCCATTATATCTAAATAAAAAAAAAGAAAAGACAATGACTTTAAATTTATAATCCATATAGTATCTTCTTTGAGGTCTTTCCACTGGATTGGTAGAACCAACATCCATAATCGGGTAACATAGCTTGCTGGTGCAACAGTTTATTCAGGATTTTCAATCATATCTGCCCCCATCAGTAGTAAATATCTTCTTATATGTATAAAAGTAAAAACAACCACCCGAGTGACATTATAATTATATTCCATATAGTAATAATTGTGGGTTTCATCAGGATTATTAATTCCCATCATCGTAGTGGGTAACAACCCGATCTTCTGCATGCCCCAGCATAATTCTCTTGCCTTGTGATTCAAGATAATATAATATGTTTATCAACACAAAAAGAAATTCCAAAATGGATAATTCAAATCCATCAGTTTAAGGCTCGTTTCACGTCCCCAAATTACGGCCATGCAGAGATCTGCCACAATCCTCAGGATGATATTAACCAATACGTCGCCTCTTCTGTGTTTACACATAATCATTCATATTTTAAAGTCACTGGCTTCACTGTTGCCTGATTTAGAAATTTCTATTTTTATGCCACCTATTTCTTTTTTTCTTTTCTTTTTGTGGGTTTGGTTTCCATCCTGATTTCCTTTCTACAAATTGTGTATCATCTGGTCGGTTTTTATTCTGCTTTGTAGATTGGTCTTGTTGGTTTTGTTTTTGTATCTCATGTTTCTTTTTTATCCCTTGTATATCCCCTAATTGGTTTCCATACTTATCCTTGCCTTGATAAGTCATCACATTAAGGTTAGATGCCACTTCTCTCAAATTTGTAGATAGTCCAGCTGGGGTATCCAATAAATCCAA